GTTGCACGGCGAGCGTGGCAGGAGTCGCGTGAGCAGCGTGTTCGTAGCCGCGGTGCTTCCCCGGACCAAGACTGGACCGGATTCGTCCCGATTTCCGTCGCGTCGCCCCGCGGCGCCGTTACCTGTGTGTGTGCGTGTGTGTGTGTGAGTGCGAGTGCGAGTGAGAGCTGAGCGCGCCAGTGCCACCCCCGGCAGCCAGCAAATGTGGAGCTGGGCCGCGAGTGCCTGCGCATCGCCGAGGAGAGGAGGAAGAGGACCGGGAGCAGCAGGCTCTGCAGCAGCAGGCTCTGCCGCAGGGGATGGGGCCAGCCAGCACCGCCTGCAGCACCAGCCCGCGCCCCGCGCCGGCCCCGCCGGCCACCACACGCTCGCCCCGCACCGCTCGCACCGGCACGGGCAGCAGCAGCTGCAGCAGCTGCAGCAGCAGCAGCAGCGCGGAAGTTGTCGCCGTCGCCCAGCTGCTTATCGGACGCGACGAGTACTCGCCGCGGTAGCGCGCCGTGATCGAGTATCAGCCCCATCAGTCCACCGAGGAGGACCCGCGGGGCGCTAGCAGCATCGCGGTAGCCGCAGCCGCAGCCGCGCAGACGCCAGGGCTTCCCGCGATTTCGCGCACACCGCCCTGCCCTGCCCCACCTCCTCCTCCACCATCACCACTACCACCACCCCGGAGCCGCCCCCGCCCAACCCTCGTCTCCCCACTCCACTCCCCGCCGAGCGGAGCGGACGGGTCGGCACGGCACGGCTCGGCGTCAACCACCACCACCACCACCGCGTACGGTGTGTGAGTGAGTGAGTGAACGAGTGTGTGTGTGAGTGTGTGTGATCCCCCTGAACGCTGCTCCAAATCGACACCTCTAGTTATGGAAATGAGTGTCGATTTGGTTTTCCAAACAGCCGTCATCGGTCTGTGCTTGGCTGTGGTGGTGCTGCTGCTAAACCGATTGAGGTCAACCAAGGAAGAAAATGTGCAAAGTAAGAGACGCGACATGGGTCTTCCTCACTCACGTTGTGGCCCCCAGAGCTGGGTGCCACTCAACCCTTTACAGCCCCAACGCTTTCGCCCCGAGTGTTTTTGCCGGTCGACACGGGTCCGCGGGGCCCGGGTCCTCCATCCGCGTCTCGTGGACGAGTCGCGAGACCCGCGAGGACGCCGGAGCCTCCGAAATGGTCTCGTGGCGCGGCGGACCTAACCTCTCCAGCCGTGTGTGTAAACACCGAGGCATGGTCCCGGAGGACCCCACACGGGGCCTCGGCGTGCCTCGCGCCCCACGCCGCGCCGTCAGCAGGGATTCCGGCCCTTATCAGCGCCCTGCTTAGTTCAGTTCTTGTGCCTTTTCATTTAAAAACACCGCTTTTTTTGACGACCAAATTTTAAATTTTAATATTTCTGCATATGTTTATTTGTTTCCAATAAATTTTGCATTGTCTTGAACGATGGCTAGACTTTTACACAACACAGATGTAAAACTCTCTGTTGGTGTAGAATCGTGCTCAAAGCATTATTTTAACATGTGGGCTGGTTTTAGTGTTGGTGTTGTAAGGGGCCATCATCTTATGGATCTCTCTGACCTTAACATTATGTTAGCGAGCGGCATGCACTTTGTGTGTGTAATTTTTCCTCTAATTTCACTGAGTTATGTGTTTTCTTGCTTCAAAGAATTAATTTTTACGCATTTACAGTATTGAGTAGCATACTTCAAGCTGTTAAAATTTTGACAACTATGAAATGTTCCAATTTGAAAGCCACCTATTTCGTGTCGTACCAGTGGAAGTATTATTTAGGGAAAATTTCAGTGAATTTATGGCAAGATTTGCCACTGTGAGTGACAATTTATTTTTTGTCAAGTTGATTAATTTTTTTGATTTTTTTAAACATTTGAAATGTGTTAACTTCTGAAATGTCCTGTGCTGCTCACCTTGTTGTTCATGTCAAAAATTCATTGTAGCATTCCCAGGCGTAACCAAGATTTAAATCTGGGGAGCTCATGTCTCACGTTTTGCCTAGTTACGGACAAATCAGCCTGAAAATTGATTACCCATTAAGCGTATTACTTGTTAAATGGCCCCAAAATATACTCCTGCAGGGTCCTTTTTGGGCGGTCATGACCTTGTGACATCCCCCTAGTATTCCCTGGACTATCTTTTTAAAAAATTTTTATGTAGTTTGTGGTTTTTAAAGTTTATTCTTTGAAATTTCCGAGAGTATAATTATGAAAGTTCTTACCAGGAAAGGACAATTCTGCCTATCATGCATCATTTGTCGGGCTCGTCTTCTGTCTTATTTAATGCTTTTTACCTCTCTGTTCCAGAAAAACAAGAGAGGAAAGAGAAGAAGCTTGAGCAGCAGCAGCAGCAGCAGCAAGTTAAACCGGCTGGTGGAAAGAAGAAACAAGAAAAATGGGCTCCTCGTGAGTCCAAGCAGTCCTTCACCCACCCCTGGATGTTGTCTTCTTTGAAGGGTCACAGTGGCGAAGTTCTTGACATGGATTTTTCTGGGAATTCCAAGTTTTTAGCAACATGTTCCGATGGTGAGTTATCTGACAATCTGGTTAATTTCTGTTGATCCCAACACTGTTTTGGCATGAGTATCAACAATCAAATATCTGTACAATTTTTGATAGGGTTCCATGATAATTGTGCAAAGCTACCCATCATAGTCCGGGCTGCTTGCCAGTGTATTATTAGTTGCTGTATTGGTGGTGGCAATGCATTGTTGGCTATGTGTTAAGGGGAGGTGGGTGTGTAGCTCAAGCGTGCAGTGTAGGGCTACAGTTCGAGGTTACCTCAATGATTGACAGATTGGCTCTCTCTTCACGGCTAGTGACCTAGATCCTATTTTTAACTGTGATGATAGTTAAGAGTACCTTGTAATGCAGTGGCTTGATAATTTACATTTAAACTTTGAGCTGTTAGGCTCCTCACATTTCACTATTTTGAAAGTGGTGCTCATTGAGCCTCAACTTTCAAATTTTTCACATTATTACTGTGTTTAGTGCCGGCACGAGTTTCACTCAGCACATTTCAATTATTTTTTTTTGTATAATTTGCAAAAAGCAGCTTTTTTTCGTGTGTAGGAGTGTTAAAAGAACTGCGTTTGGTTGGAAAAATTACCTCAACCCTTTTGAGCGAGCACTGAACATAAGTATTGAAAAAATTAAGTATTTGTGAAATTTGAAGAGTCGCAGCACTGAAGAAATGTGGAGAAAAGGGGAGTTGTCTTTATCCGTCGGAGATAGATTCAAGGTTAGTTTTTCTGTTTCTGGGGCTTTTAAAAGTGTCTCTCAAATTTAATCAAAATTGGCTTCTTGATTATGCCTTGGGATTTGTAATAGTTTTACTTGATAACACTTGAACTGTAAGCTGCTTAATTTTCTGCGCTATTTGTGGGAGTCTGCCAGAGGTTTTTGATCAGTGGATGAGGTACGGTTTACATGTAATTTTTGTGGGGAAGCAGTAAACTGCAATTACCTTATTATTTATTTTGCATGAAAATGCAGTTTTTTTCTTAAATTTTTTCTCAGCCTCTTGCTAATTGCTGTGTGCTTTGAGACTTATTCATTCTGAAACAATCTCTTTAATGTTTTCTTTGTTTGTTTCTGTTTGAAGATTTGGAGGCTGCAAGCACAGAAGATGGCAGTCCGGGAGACCGAAGTGGCAACAGCAGCAGTAGTGAAGGCAACAAGGAAAATAAACGCCCACCTGATTCAGGTGGCGGAGGGGGAACACCACGAGCCGCAGCACGCTCACGGAGACAGAAGAAAAATGCTTCGCCTGGGAAAAAGAACAAAGCCAAGGGAAGAAAATCAGCAAATGCAGCTGGAGATGGAGGTGGCAAGCAGGGTCAAAGCATACCCCTGCGTCAACGTGCCAAGCTAGTATTGACTGATAATGAGTTGGCTCAGTTCTTTTTACATTATGTACTGAGTCCTGATCAACTTTTAGGCTTGTCGTTTCCTGTTGAAAGTACCCTGTATCCTGGTCGTGCCATTATCTACAAGAGTCCGTCAAACCGTCCACAACAGCCAGCAGCCCAGGCACCGCGCCAGTCGCACTTGTTTGATGTAAATGCTCAGGAGTTTGTCCCAAAGTATCAGAGTCCTTTTCTGTATACCACATCTTCCAAAGTGCCTGTGGCTACTGAGATCAGTGAAAATATCTATGTATCTTCCAGTTTAGTAAGCAATGGCACATCTTGGAAAGATGGAAGCAGTGATAGTGATAGTACTAAATCTGATGATTTTGTCAAACCAAAAGATTCATCTAAAGTGAGTCCTGTCAAGAGCAAAGCTCAAGCAGAGCTTAGCAGTGGTAGTGATGAGAAGTGGTGTGTTCGCTGTGGTAGGGGCTTTTTTGTGTCCAATGATGGAGAGTATTTGACTCAAGAAAAGTGTTTATACCATTGGGGAAAACTCCAAGTTGGATCTAATGGAATTCCTGATTATAGTTGCTGTAAAGGGCGCTCAAATACCAAAGGCTGCACAACTGGAAAATTGCATGTTTGGAAAGGTATTAATGATGGTATAAATGGGCCATTAGACGGATTTGTTAGGACTAGGCCAAGAAAGACACTACCTCCAGATGGCAACTATGGTGTTTATGCCTTGGATTGTGAGATGTGTTTTACTACTAATGGGCTAGAGCTCATTAAAGTGACAGTTGTTGGAACTGATGGCAGGCTGGTGTATGACAGCCTTGTGAAACCAGAACATTATATAATAGATTACAATACTCGATTTTCAGGGATAACAGCAAAGGACCTCAATAAAAAGGGGGCCACCAAATCTATAAAAGATGTGCAGAATGACCTGATGGGTTTCATAAATGCTGATACCATCTTGATAGGTCATGGTCTTGAAAATGATCTTCGTGCATTGCGCATCATTCATGGAACAGTGATAGATACTTCAGTTGTTTTCCCCCATTATTATGGTCTTCCATACAGACGCTCATTAAAATCTCTTGCCAATTGTCTGCTCAAGAGAGATATTCAGAGTGACTCATCAGGACATGACAGTTATGAGGACGCTCGTGCTTGCATTGAGTTAATGCTATGGAGAATTCGAAAAGAATTTCGCTCAGTTTTGGAGAGCCGTCAAACTTCTCACTCATCATAGTTCAATAGCAGTAATTTCTTATTGAATCTCCTAGACATTCGGCTGATCCAACTCTGTTAATTGTGTAGTGAATGTGAAAGTGCTCCATTTTCAAGTTTACTTTGAAACATTTTCCAAAGAATACTCAAGAAGTTGTATGATTGTGTGTGTGTTTGTGTGTCTTTGTGTGGCTGAAACTATCAACCAAGACTGAGGCATGGCTTACTGTATTTTACTCTTGGGAAGTCTTGCTTTACCAACACAATGTAATTTTTGTATTCTATATACTCCCCTATAGTTTCCTCCGAAACTAAAAGACATTTGTGTCTTGACTTCTCTGCTGTATCAAAAATGAACTAATCTCCGCCATGCCTTTCACTTTTTCTTTAGTTAGTTTCATGTTTTCATGCCTATACTGTATGTTATCAGTTTTGCTGCTTGTAGATTCTTAGCAATCTATTTTACATACTTTTTCCACTTTTCTTTTTGTAGAGCAGTAAGCCATGAGTGAAAACTGTGATTTGCATGTGTGAGTTGTGCTATTTCTTCTTTTAAGTCTAAACTTCTTCCTTCTGTCCGGTTTATACTTAATTTTTTTTTTTTATCTGAATGGACAACAGAGTTTTGTCAAAGTGAGAGTTTTGTGTATTTCCTCTCTACTTGGCATTTCACAACTTTAGCTTTGGCAACAGATGATTTGTAGATATGTTAATTTCTCTTGTTATTAGTTGGGATAAAATTTGTCTGCCTAGTGACTTAATGGCTTATGGCCATACTTCATGTAAGGAAATTTTGTCCTTATTCTTATTATTTTGATGTGAAAATAGTTTTACATCGACTTCCTTGTGTTCATGTGGGAGTAAATCTTCTCCTGAATTTTCTTTTAAGTCATGATGTTAGTGGAAGAGTTCCATAATTCAAACTTAAGTATGGAGTAGAGAACAAATTAGTAATCTTTCGAAGAAAAAAAAAACATTTGAAAGTATGGTCTGATTACCTGCTCAATTTCCCAGTAAAGATCTTTTGGCTTTAATGGAACTGTAAAGGGACAAATTTTTAAGACTTTAACAACATTCCTGTCAAATTGACTGACCAATTGCCAACAATCATTTTTCTTGTCCCTGTCATTTACTATTCTCTTCGAGTTTTTCTTTAATAATTTTTCATACAATAGAACACTATTAGTGTTGTGTGAATGATGAGTGACTGATGGTGCTGTTATATTTATTTTTAGCATTCTTGCTAGGTTTTTTTCTTTTTTTATTAATTTAATTCTAAGTAGCTATGAAAATTTTGCTAGTCATTTTTTTTTCATGTTCCTATTTGACTGGGAAGAATTGCAAAGTTTGGCTAATCTGTGCAGGATAAATTACTTCATCAGTCCTCAAGGTTCTTACGTCTCTTGGTTCTTAATATGAATTTCTAACTTCCACAATTGGAGCAAAGTTTTGCTAATGCCTGCAGGATAAATTATTCTTGATCTTCAATGTTCATAATATGAATATGATTTCCTAACTTGCACAAATTGAAGTTGGGGGCTTTTACTACGACCATCATAAATTGCTCAATTTTGCATATTTGATGGTGTGAAACCTTACATATCAGTCTGTATGCATTTGAACACCATGTTGCTCACAATTCACATTTTCTATCCAAAATTTTTACTTAACTTTGTGTACACCCTGTACCTAAATGTAATGAAATGGGTAATTTCGACCATTTTGATAACCCCTTTTTTTGTATATGTAATGAAGCAATAATAATGCTCTTATGCTTGCGTGTGAAAAAGTGTTCCACTGGAACAGATTTCCTCAAGTATTCTAGAAGAGCATGTAAAATCTTAGTTTTGATGTACTCATGTGAAAAAACTTGGACTGGACACTGCCTTACTACTGCCCAAAATTTATTATCTTCAATGCCATTTATGTAGTACAAAACTGATTGGAAGGCATAGTTAATGATTAATGAATTATAACTTACAGCTTTGTTTTCCAAGAATTTCACATGATTCTCTATCTTTTTTTGGTGTTTATTAATAACTATTAGGGCCCTTTTGAGATCAAAATTTGAATCTACTATTATTCGTGATTAGATCAATCTGTTTAAATGTTGTAGTTGACTGTTAGAAATTAGTGTACTTCATGTGTACTTTGGTTGTGAAATTTGTTTTAAATGATCTCATTCACAATATTTGGGATTTCTTCCATTTACATAAATTGTATTGTATGAACGCCTCTGAAAATTATCATCATACCTTCACCTGGACCTTCCAATGATCCTCGCTGAAGTTGTTGAGAGTGCACTATGCCTGTTTCCACACGTTCTTTTCAGATGATTAAGGCAAATGTGGATGCTATTATATTGTGAACTCTTCCTTAAATTGCACAAGATAAATGGTTGTGCTGTGGAGTAGAATTTAGTTCTATGTGCATTTTGAGTGGAAAAGAGATGCTGCATTAGTGTGTCAGTATGTTTCATATTCAATGTAGCCTTGGCACTGAATATATTAATCTTAACAATTAAAATCTAGACTGTACAATTTTATACAGATTTTACTTCACAGAACTTGAGCTTTCAGTTGGTTTTTAGTTTGGGTTTTCCAGTCTCATTTTGTGTAGGTAATTACAGTAGTAATGTGGACCTTTTGAGGACTTGGATAGATTCTTAAGCAGGATATTATTATTAGGTTGTCTAGACTGCCAGTTTTGTGTTATTTGTAAGATGTTGTATCAGAGTGGGTATTGAGTGAATGTAGTAGAATGATGAAGGTCTCAGTATTGTTTTAGAATTCCTCTGTACAAAGGGTACAAATTAATGTCATTTTGTTTATTTCTTATTTAATTGTGAGTTTGTATGTGTGTTTATGAATTTCTGTTGTATGTGCTGTATTTTTTCTACCTTTGTGTTATAGTTTTTAAAATGTGAGAATGTTTACTATTATGAGCAAAAGTATGTTTTCTAAATTATTTTATCCACTATCCAGTTACATAGTGGGTAAATGTGTGAAAATTTGGGACGTACATTTCCTAATGTGAAGGAACTTTTGTTCATAATTGTATCCAAGTTGTCTGTGCATTTGTATTGCACAAGTTTTAAACGGTCTCTGTGAGATCTTGCCACATTTCTGATACAACTTAAGCAATAGTCTTATTGTTTCATTCCATTGAAGCCTTGTGCAACAATAGCAATTTTTTTTTCTTAATTTATTCCAGGCTTCATTGATGGGGTAAAACTAATTTTGTAGTTTTAGAGAGCAGAACCCTGAATAAAATGGAAAAGTTACTGTCTTTGGCCCTGTTTCATTCCTTCACAAGTCCTTAAATTACTGTAACAATTGAACAATTGTGACAGTGATCATGTTGCACTACACACATAGAGCAGGTTATGATTACGTAGTATTCTTCGACGCATCCGTGCGACAAAGGCGGATCATGCAGAAAGCGGTCGTTGAACAAAGACTCATCAGAAAATGGTAGCTGAACAACAACGGATCAGAAAACGGTCGCTGAACAACGACGGGTCTGCTTTTTGCTGATCTCTGCATACTTGACTTTGGAGGCGAGGCCTCTCACTCTCCCAAGAGATATCGCATCGTATTTGATGTTGTCTCTTTTTATTCACGAGATGATGAAAATTAAAGTGGCGTTTCACTGAAAACGATACAACGTATCCGCGATGAGTGAGAGGCCTCCATTCTAGGGCCCTACCAGAACCGACCAGAGCCCTGCACCGGGTGGGCAACGTGCCTTCTACTGTATGGTGCTTCCCCTAAAGCGCCGTGTTTGTATGTTGCCTATGCTCTGTGCTGAGCCAATGAAGATTCAATTATACTAATGACCAGTCAGTCGGGTTATATCTCCCTCTCACTCCCACTCGTTTTTGGACGCCAATTGGGTCTGCCTTTTCACTTCGCCCGTAAGGCCTCTTGGCTTGGCCCCTACGATCCTATCGACTAGGCAATCCCGCAACACGGGGTACAAAAGAAACGCCTGGCAAATGCGGCACCCGCAGTAACCTAGTTGTGGCAGTGTAGGATCATGTACGCGACATTTAACACGGCTGGAAGATTTAGTCCTTTGTTATTTTTTTTGTAGACCGCGCCGTTGTGCTCTGGAGTGCCAAACACCTGGATCAGAAGGAACACAAGAACTTGCGCGTCAACGTTGAGTTTGACCACGCCGTCATGGTGCGCTGGAGCCCCGACTCGAAGGCCTTCATCATACACAAGGGCGTGGAGAACGTCGTGGAGGTGCACAAGGTGTCCAAGAAGCCCGACGGGTGGATTGGGCCCGTCACCAAGGCCATCACCTTCCCGAAGGTAGGTTGAAGCGACGCCCGCCGTCCTGAAAGCTCGGCCGGGATCGTGCCCAAACCACGTGACTTGAGGGGGGGGGGCAAATTTGACGGAGTCCCAAAAGGTTTCGGACAGTCATTGGAGTCCGCAGAGACCCGGTCATATTTGTACCTCGGCGTAAAATTATCATGAACCCAAAATATTTGGACCTTCCCTAAGGTCACGTAGGTTTGGGCACGATCCCTGTCATTTGCTCCGAGACTAACAGAGCACCTCTGCAGGCGCACGTGGAGGACGTGGTGGGGATGGACATTGCCGTGAGCGGGCGCTTCATCATGACGTGCTCGGAGAAGACGGAGCTGGTGCTGTGGGACCTGAAGGGCGAGCGCCTCGCCACCCTGGACACGCTCACGGTCCAGACGCACCGCGCGCGGGTGTCGCCCTGCGGACACTTTGTGGCGGCTTCAGGTGAGTCCTCGCCGAGTTCCTCGCCGAGGTTCGGGTAGGTTCGTTTGCACCTGACACGCTCGCTTTACGTGTGGCCTTCCGCACAACAGGTTTCACCCCCGACGTCAAGGTGTGGGAGGTGGTCTTCACCAAGGGAGGCGACTTCGACCGGGTGGTTCGCGCCTTCGAGCTCAAGGGCCACAGCTCCGGCGTCTACGACTTCGCCTTCTCGGCCGACTCGTCACGCGTGGCCACCATCAGCAAGGACGGCAACTGGAGGGTCTTCGACACGAAGGGTGCGTGAGTGGAGGCAGGCATGCGTGCCTGGGGCGTTAGGGACGAACCTTAACCGGTGCTTTGTCGCGCTTTTGCAGTGGAGTACCAGAAGGGCGAGGAGCCCCGCCTGCTCAAGTCGGGCAAGCACGACGGGCCCGCGGCCATCAAGTCGCACCTGGCCATCTCCCCCGACGGCGAGTCGTTCGCAGTGGCCACCGGCAGCAACCTCTCCCTGTACGTGGTCAACTCCGGCAAGCTGCTCGTCACCCTCCACGACGTCTACTCGGGTAAGTCGGTACTCCCCTTATTATTGCTATAGGGG